GTTCTGTTCCTCTTTCATAATTTGTATTTAATTTATCGGTGAGCTTAAGTGCAGACAGAGAGTTTTTTTTTTATTATTTTTAAAATTTAATATAGAAAATAGTTTATGAAGGGCTTGTATATAATATATGTGTATAGTATAATAATATTTGTATATATGTGTGCATATGTATTTCTTCTCTTACAGTTATTTGATAGTTTCTTGCCTTAGTTCAATACCTATTAATGACAATTTTATGGTAGATAGAGAATATATGTCCAATATACGAGTTCATCACTACTTTTATAAAGCAATTTACAAATCGGCAGATCTTCTAAAGAGTTGAAAATTTTATCGGATACGCCATGAAGTTCGAACACCTGAATTAAAAATTTTGATATCCACTGTATCGTACGATACACGAGTTACATAAATAAAAAGCGTTAATCTTCGCCGCCGATAAAGTACAACAATCAAATACAGCTACACCGTAGCCTAAGAGACAAAAAACATGACCATATCAAATCGGCATGTCCGTGTTTCCCGCGCTCGATCAGCAGTGTGATAGTCTATATTTTAATTACGATTGGCAGCTATAGTGAATGCTGGATCGTTAAAAGCATAACATTTATCTAATTAGGATATAACTTCTAGGTTATTCCGCTCTCTCCACTTATTTCTTCCTGACCATCATCGTGTTCATAAGCCTTTACAGGATATCCCCTGGTGATAGGTAGTATTTAAACAAAAAAAAAAAAAAGAAATGACAATCTTAAGTAAGCGCCAAGACTCTTCTACGTGTAGATTGCATGGGCGGGATAATAAGAGTAATCATCTGCAAAGTAAAGCAGCCAGGATAAGAAAGCTATTACAGGCAGGGCTCGATTGCGCAAAGAATGAAAAAGATCGTGTTATCGTTTCATTTAATTTTTTATGAAGAAAGCTTGACTACTTGAAGAAAGTGACTATTAAAATGATGCCTCTTTGTCAAAAGTCTTTTATTCATTATAAATATTATTCTTAGGAATTAACCAAAAATTCATTTCCTTTTTGAAAGGATCTTAGTATTCCGCCAAAAGCCAGTTTGGGCGATTAACCGATTGTAAATGGTTAAGGGACATGTTTATTTTACAGTGGTGGGCTACATGCACGATATATATATATGTATAAAGTCTACATGTTTTACTTAAATATAAACACTATTTTATATTTATATAATTATTACTGCAAGCTTACGTTCTAAGCGTGCATGTGTATGCGTATAATAAGTAATGTATTTAGAAAATTGCTTATGATTCAATTATTTTCTTATTATATTAATTTGAGCGACTTTTTTTCTCTTTCTAATCGAATTAATTGTAGTAATGGCCACCAAAGCATAGGGAATATAAGCAAAACCCTATATTCATCCAATTTCATGAAACAACTTAGAAAAAGTATGTTTGTACCGAACATTTTCTCTTAAACTGCTTAGCTGCTTTAGTGGTCCTTCACTTGCATTGAAAATTAAATAAAAAATAAAATCAAGTTAATCAAGATAGAATTTTTAAGTTATTGGTAAAAACTATATGGTAAAGATCCGCCAGAGATCTTCTTTAAATACTCTACGAAGAAGCCCGTGTCGCTTTCTTGCCAGATAAATTAGACAGTGACGTCGTGAAAATGTTTATAATTTCTGCAGAATTGAACGTGAAGAATAATGCTATAACACTCTCAGAACCAATTTTAGAAGAGGATGTGACGAGAGCGCTTTGATCTTTTTCTTTTCATTATGGGGAAAAACTTGAGATAGAAATTGTTTTTTTTTTTTTTTTTATGTAAAAAAACATTTGAACTGCCTTTTATAGGTATGAACATTGATTTCAACATTTTGTAACAAATGTGCACAAATCCGGACTGAAACTACCGATCACGGTTGTATTCTGAATCCAAGGACGGACTAAAACTGAATTCTGTCGTCGAAAACTTTACAACATAGTTTAGCACCTTTAACGACAACGCAAGTTGAATTACAAATGAGAAATCAGAATAAGGCTCTAGTGTTCGCTGAAAATGCAAATATTATCAGAACAAAGGGGAGATTAAAAAAGAGCGGGCAACAATACAGAGCAGAAGGCAGCAAATAAATGTAAGTGAAACAGCGCTTACTTAATTTGAAAGTTTTAGTAATGTACTTAAAAACGACAAAAGCGTCAATCACAAGCTTTGGAAAACTGCAAAATATTTAAAAGTGCGTATTAATAAGGGGCTCAAATAGGACATAGTGTAATTCAGATTGGGCAGAGGGCAGTCGCCTTTTTAAAACACTTCGAATTTACCTTTCTTTCGAAAATCCCGAAGACGAACGGGAAATTACAATGTCTCTTGACAATCCTTGGCAAACGGATTTAAGGAAGTAAGGAATGGAGTATCACTTTTAAACAATAAAAAGTCTCGATCTAAAAAGTGCATTACGTTATTGAATTTGATATTAACAATTCAATGTCGGGACTGCAACATTGCCAAGGTCAATGGAAATCCGCTGAAATAAGTCCTGCAAGCCAATGAGGATTCTATGTACTTTAGAAAACTCCTGCTATGAGGTTGCAGCGAATGTTACACAATAATAATATAATGCTTCGGCATCAATTTATTTTTCGCCATAAGCATAACACTCAATCTCAGCAATGTCATTGAATCGTTACAGAAATATATAGAAATGCGTTAGAAAATAAGCAGGGTTCATGGACGTGAATCTATTGATAAAGTTTGGCATCAAGGACTTCTTTCTAAATTTGACAAGAACCTTTCTTCTCCTTTCTATCTAAATCGGTCTTTTTTCTGTTAAAGTAGACAACGAAAATTCGGATGTCTGTAAAATCAATGCGAGTATTACACAGGGTAGTGTATTATGTACCGCGCTTTGCGCAATTTTCCCATCGGATGTGCTGCTGGCTGAACATGTCACTGCCGGCCCATTTGCGAATGATACGACTATAATTGCACGCAACGAACGTAAAGATGAAGCATCACAATTTGTTCGAATGCATCTTAACAAAATGTCCATATTGACCAAAGAAGTGGAGCATATACATAAATGCTGAAAAAGCTACACACGTCACATTTATTTCAAAACAGGACCATATATTAGCTGATTGATTAAAGATGAAAGGTGATGTTGCTGCGAAACAAAGCAATTCTCCAAACCATTTGGACGTATGGCATACAACTATGGGGAACAGCGAGCAACTTGAACATTGAAATTTTTTACCTCTATCAATCTGAAACATTAAGATTAATCACAGATGCCCTATGGTATATAACAAACAAGCATATTCACGAAGATTTATGCATTTCCATAGGAAAAGAAGAAGTTGTCAATTTCAGCTCTCGGTATCTTCATCGTCGTGGCCATCATTCGAAATTGCACGCAACAGCTGCACTAGACGGTAGAGAATCAACGAATAGGCTGAAAAGATATCACATTTCATATCTACGTATATATCATTCAATGATTAAAGATTCAAATATGTTCTATACGTATATAAAAATAGGTTAACAAATTAAAGCAAAGTAGATGTAAAGTTACGCCATTTGCTTATTATTGCAAATAAGTGAATATATGAAAACAAAAGAAAACAAAATAAACACACACACACAGTGTCTTAGGGCTGAGTATTAAAGAAATCCATTCTAAAAATGACAAGTAAATCATGTATTCGTATAATTTAAGTGACTTCTACCACGCGGATAAGGCGGAACGAATCGACATTGTCAAGTTAAATGATGTAACAAGGCGCATGAACTTTTCCAGAGCATGTAATTTTCCAGATCCTAGCAAATTGAAATTCTGTGAAAACATATATAACAAAAAAAAAAAAAAAAAAAAAAAAAAAAAAACAGAGTTCAATTTATTCACATGATACTCGTGACCTTGTACTTTACTTGAAGCAACGTACCATAAATGGGAGTGTATGTGACAAAATAATCGGACCATTCTAAATAAAGGAAAATAAACAGACAATCCACCTTGAAACAAATACATATACAAACACATTATATAATATTTCAAAAGATGCGGGTGTATTTTAATTTTGCATTGACGTTTGTAACGTTAAGAAAATTTCGATTGATTTCGTGCTCTGCCATCTGTTCTTCGTCTGTTTGTGAATCTAATGATTGTGCCCAAAATGGATATGAATATTTTCCACTAAAATGCACGCTTACAGAAAGAATCTTCAGACTACCATTTTGACAAAAAAAAATAAAAATAAAAAAAAGCGGAAACGCAGAGAAAACCGGAAAAATGCAAAATTTTGCCATTAACTTATTGGACAACTTATATACATTATAAAAATTAGTCCGCCTTCCGGCCAAAATTTCCTTACAAATATGTAGTAATCGATTAATTGTCACACTAATAGCTAATAAGAATTTGTGCGTCTGTTCGTGTACATTCATTCGAGTAGCAGGATAGCCATGATTTGCCCTAAAACGGTTATAGACTTTTTTAAATTTTATTCAAAAACTTATAATATTATATAACGTTTGAATGCTTATATATAATACTTTGCTTAATATGCTTTTTTCAGATAATCTGTACAAAATATGCAAAAAATTTTCTCTCCTTTTCTTGTTTTTCCTTTTTTTTTTTTTTTTTGCTTTTTATTCAACTCGGAAGCTAATTATCAAAGTATAAACAAAAAATACAAACAAATAACAATTCCTATATATATATATATAAAATGTATGGGTGTATGTCTATGTATATATATATATATATATATATATGTTTCATAAGCTAATAATAAAACTTTCAACTATATTTGCATATTTATAGGTTTTTGTGTTTTTATAATTTTATGTTTTTAGTTTTATTTGTGTTTGTTCTTTCATGAATTTACAAAATCTAATGATTATAATTATAGAAAAATATTAAGTGTACGATATATCGGGGACTACTATCACAATATGACTTATTATTAAGTTTTATTTTGATGCTGTTATTTTCGCTAAATTTAAATTTCATTTTTCTTCTTTTGTTTTTTTTTTTTTTTTTTACATAATAATGCATTTTTTACGGGCCGACGATCCATCGCCCTCGCTCATGGCCATCGTCTTTGAACGCATCAAATTCAAATCGGTGCGTATGCTCGGGCGCCTGGCATTCGGTGTAACTACACCACACGCGTCACTAAAACGTCGCTTAATGGAAAGGGCATTCTTTTTTGAGCCCCCAGCCGATGAATGAGGTGGCAGAGGCGAGGGTGCACCAAATACGGTAACCACACGTCGATGATGATTCGGTGCCATTTCTAAAGGTAAATTCGAAACCATAAATAGAGTATAAAATAAATCATCGATATGGAAATTTTGCTTTGCCGAGCATTCAACAAATACACAGCAATTATCCTGACCGGCTATATAGCCCATAACCTCATCAAGTTGAACCGTTCTGTAAGCGATTATTAATCTATTAACATCTATCATGCATTATCAAAACGATAAGTGTATAGCAAATGATTACCGTGGCTCTCTATCACATTTATTACCCGCCAATATCATCGGTATTTTGGGTAAGGTTTTCTTTTTAAATCCCGAGCCCGGATTTAAAGCTGCCCATTTCGTTTCCAATATGTTTTCACGTAAGCGCACCACTTCTTCGAAGGATTCACGCGAATCCATACTAAAGACCAAAATGAAAAGATCACCTAAAATGCATAAAAGTTTTTCGTTGCCATTTAAACATATATTAATTTTCAAGGAGAAGAATTCATAAGAACGAATGAACGGAATGAACGGAAATCTAATTTGCATGATAAAATGTGCATAATGTGAGTAAAGTAGATTTACAATCGAAACTTGATACATGTTAGAAAAGAGCATACGAACAGATAATGAAGCACATGTATATAAGGAACGTTATTTAAGTGGGAATTTCTTTACATATATTCGTGAATGAGCTAACATTAAATATATATATATATATATATATATATATATCTATACACAATGGCATTAACTTGTAGACAATTCTGTTGGCGTGTATATATATATATTACATGTGCAAGAAATTTACCTTAAAAAAGGTATAATCAAAACTAATGAAAAGAAAAAATAACAAAGAAAAGAATTAGATAACTAAAATATCTTTAAAGCACTTAAACAATTGAAAAAGATGCGGTAAATAAAAATCAATTAATTGAACCGACAATTTAAGATTTAGGATATTGCTCTGACCTACCAGAATCAATCTGCCATGAACTATCTATAACGTAATATATTTAGTATTCCGGACATTGTATACGAGACTTTTCATTTGCAACGTCCTTTTCCGAGTTTTAGTTCTACTTCTGTTGTCGGTCAAGAGGTCTGACGCTTCGCCGATACGCATTATTGCTTAAAAGAGAAGAGTACGACCAAACAGCAGTTTTGCTCAAGACAATCAATTTTTACAAGTATCATAGTACCATTTACAAGTGCCAAGGTTCTTAGCTAATATTTGAACCAATTGCAGCAAATAGCTAATCAAGTGGATTCGGTGATAGGAAAGAATTTCAGAAAGATAAGCATCATTTTCCTCCTTATAATATTGAATCGATATCATCCTATCCGATGATCTTTCCTTTTCACTTCTTATAGGGAACAACTTCAGAGCAAGATTCCTCGCAAGTATATGAAAAAGACGCCCACTTCTTGGGAATGATGCATAAACGTCATAATTAAATATTATTGCCAACATTCTTGCCAACATTACTGTCGTCGTTCACAGTCCATCATTTTATGAATCACATGATTTGTAGATAATACCGACCTTCACACGAATGTGTCAAAGTTTCATCACATTCTCGAATATATACATTATATATATATTATTAGCTAGGTCCGCCCTTGGTTTTATAAAAAGGTGGTCCAAAAAGCTTGATGATTCCTACATTACGAAAAGGCTGTACATGTGTTTGGTTAGACCCATACTCGAGTATGCCTCAGTTGTGTGTTCTCCTTCATATAGGTGCTACGTAGATTCAATTGAATCTGTTCAAAAGTAATTTGGGTTGGGATCCGATTGCCTCTCTTCTTCCGTATGAAAATAGATTGCTTCTGCTGTCCCTACCGTCCCTTGAGAAACGTAGATTTGTTCTTGGCGTTTCCTTTCTAATTAAAGTAATAAATGGTGCTATTGACTCGCCTTCATTACTTGGTGAAATAAGCTTTAATGTCCCTAACCGCTTCTCTAGGCATTTTATCTTGGTTAAGCTTAATCAGTGTAAATTTCATTATGAGCTGTTCAATCCGCTCAGAGTCGTTTGCAAAAACCTAAATGACGTCTACCACTTATTCTCGTTATCGGACTCTTTAAAGTCCATTAAAGCAACATTGCTTAATACGCGCGATTTACCTATGTCGTATTTAAACTTAGCTTTTATCCTTAAAAAGTCGTTACGTTTCGAAAGTGAATTATTGTCAATTTATTATCGGTTGCCAGGCTTATGCATGTTTGCGATGGCTTAGGAGTTCATTTGCAATTTGGTCCTGTACCGTTTGTAAGTGTGGCCCTATGCTGGTAGTGTACATGCTTTTTTTTTTCTTTTTTTTCTTCTTATTTGTTTTTTTATACTTATACTAAATTTTATTATTTATTAACATAAGTTTTGCATTAAGAGCCAATTGAACTCGACTGTTTTGCTTAGTTGAGTTTCTAGTATAAGTAGAATAAATAATTAAATAAAAAATAAATAAAATAAAAATAAATAAATTATATATGGATCACTCTTAAATAGTTCTCTGTTCCATGATTACGTAACACGTTTTAAATGGTTGAAACAGTAAGAAGAATCGTAATATATCCCACGATCAAAAGCAGAAAATGAAAGTCAATCTTCGTTACGAAATATTCATGCCACGGACATAGATTATAGAGCATGTAATGCAACATATGTACACTTTGCGAAAATCCTTCGGATTTGCAAATATGCAATCTGACGATACACCTATCCAGCCTAACTGTGAGTAAATTTGTAAAAATCTCAACATGTTTTAGTTAACAGCAAACGCAGCGCTTGTAAGGCAGCTTAGCATTCAGATCATCGCAATAAGAATTTATCTGCACAAATTTCTCATGAAGATCTACTCCTAAATTTTATAAGCTATTGCTAAATTTTCAAATATTTTTAATATCTTCTTTAACGTATTTAACATTAACGAAACTTTTCAATTTTCCGAATTTCAATTTTCTAGCTAAACATTTGTCACTTTGCGAGTTCGAAGAGCATCGAATCACAATTTTTGGATTGAACAAGGGGAGCTGCCACACTTTTCGATGTCACGAGTACATCCATATCACACGAATAGAAATGCATAATAAAGTGAATAAAAAATATATATATTTACCTCTACGAAAATTTGTGAGTATTCATCTCCCCTATCAAATGCTGAAGTTTTTATTATATCACTTGCAATGTCAAGTTTTATATGAAATTTACGTTTCCGTTGCTGTTTCTTTTTTTTTTTTTTTTTTTTTTTTTTGAAAGTCATTGCGTCCTTTTGGTTATTGGGAGTGTGTTTGTCAATATACACTTGCCAACCAACTATTGACATTTTTATATTTTTTTATCATACAGCATAGACACCGTTAACTTTTTTAAAAAATTTTTTCACTTTCAATCATATCAGTTAACAAGGGTGCAATATATATTATTAGTTTAAATTTATTGAGAAAATGAATCTCTAAAAAACTCTAAAAAATGATTCCATTTCGAAATGGTTTAAATTAAGAATGGATGAGATTTTAACATGCCTCATACGGCATGTCTCACACGATCGACTAGAAAAAAATAACTTCTTGCGCCTCCAGTTCTATTTATACGACAAAATGCTAAACTAAACTGATTACTGAATACGATATCATTTTTTGTCATCAATAAAAATGTCCAATGTTTGCTATCGAAACAAACAAAAAAACAAAAGCAAATAAGATAAACTCGCGTAAGGTGGGTGAACTCAGTTTATACGATTTAAAAAAAAAAGAAAAAATCCTACATGTAAGGGAAATAAATTTAAAATAATAATTTACTTTACACTATAAATTTGTAGAAATGCAAAAAAAGCAGAAAAACATGGCGAAATGAAAACAGCTTGGACCGAAATATCCTATATCTACCAACAGATGGTATACCAGAAATGTGTTCGTGACTAAACTTTATATCATATTTTGTATGACTTGGCCACAGGTCATCGGTAATTTAAGCGAATTGAAAAACACATTCTTACCTAGTTTTTACCTGATTTACCTAATGCATGGCTTTTGACATTCTTCTCCTTCTGCGGAATTTCCTTACGGAAGCTTAATCTTAATTTTCAATTTTCATATCTAGTAAGAGTGTATGTATGTTTAAAAAAGAGAATATAAAAGTAATTTTCACGTCTTGAAGAAATGGATTTCAACAATCAGCCGGATGGACATAAGTAAATTGATTTCTTTCTCACATCAAATCCTTGCTTCTTATTGTTTCCGATGCATAGTTTTAGGCATTGCGAACATTTGACAATCTTTTTTAATGAAAAGTTGCGGCGACATTTTTGAGCAAGCTGTGTTAAACATTGCGTCCTCGATTCAACACGAAAGCATATAAACAAAAGTCAGAGCGACAGGCAGGTACGTTTAAGTCTGTTCAGGTCGGAATAATAATGACTGAGTCTATTTTAAATCTATCTGACCGTTCGATGCCTACAAGCGGCATCTTGCAAACTGTTTCTCACCAATTATTACTAAATATTTTCGAAATATTCATAACACGCTTAAAAAGAACTCAATTTGAGGCTATTACAGGTGGATTGGTATATGAATCAGGTTAGAATATCTGTAGGAATTTCTCGGCTTCATCCTCCCTAAAAGATGAACGGACGACAAGTTGGCCGCTTGTTGGCTATAGCTAAATCGATTCGAAGTTTTCCTCATTCATGAAAATATTCTTCAGTACACATATGTGGTAGATGTAATGAATCATATCGAAAAGTCTCCGCGGTTTCGAGCTTGTTTTCGTAGCGTTCTCTTTCCAAATGATTCCAAAATGTCATGTGATTGATGTTTAGTGTCTTATGTGCCGGCCTTGCTCCATCCATTGGAAAATTGGATCGACCCAAACCACTCCTGCGTCCCTCGGTTCATTTATAGCATTCTCACCGTACCGTTTACAAATTTTTCGGCATCTTTTTGCATATTTTACCATTTTTATTGTAAAAGAACTTCACATAGCGTATTTCGTCAAATATTTCACTCATTTTCAATTCAATATAACTTTTTAGAAGAGCAAACAATTAGAAAATTATCTTAACAAAAGGTGTAGGCGGAAATGCCACCTTTTAAACACATATTAGTTTGAGTCTCAATATGTGGGCGTCAACACAATTCCGCCAAAAAAGCCATAAAGCATTTTCAAAATGACCTAATATATGCACATAGTGTACATGTGATGAATGAATGACAGAAAGAACTTATTATACTTCCTTCCTTTTCATTCGTAGTAACGAAAGAGAGCAATAAATACCGTATATGATTCGAAATATTAAAACAATAACAACAAAAATCAATAATTACACAATGTCGTTAAACATAAAACTGAGATTATATTGTGAGACTATTTTTAAAAAAATGAATCGCTATGCTAACTATAAAACGGATCAATATCACGACACGAGAGCAAGCAGTGTGTTGAAAAAAATGGCAAAATAATATTTAAAAATAACAGCATTACCGTACATGATAACACAATTTTGCGAATATGTTAACATTTGAAGGGAGCACTTTAATTTACCCGTTAAGAATGATAAACGTCGCATTGCTGGAAACGGATGATGGCCAGATGTATCTAGGACATCTAATTGATAGACTTCATTGCGTATGCGATATAATTTACGATGAAAGTCCTCGATAGTGGGTGTGTAGGCCTCTTCGAAACGGTTACCCAAGAAACGTGCAACTATTGATGATTTGCCCACGCGTGATGACCTAAATTGAATCAATTAAATAATTCGATTTATTTAATAATTTTATAACCAACGAGTGGACAACAAAAAACTTTTCAAAGAAAAGTGAATCATTTAATTCAATTAAATCAATTAGATAACTAATTTAAATCAATTGTAAATAAAGATAAAATAGAAACGATTGTAAATGCACTTGAATGATGTGTGTGTGCGTGCAGAAAATATATTCAAGTTTTTCTTTTTTCTTTTTTTTTTTTTAATTTATTTATAATTTAAAAAAAGTTTTTTCTTCTTACGCTATCCTATTATTTCAATTGGCGGTATTGGTAGTGTTGATAGCGTTTACAAGATATTCTGCGTGGAGCATACGCTTACGGTGTTGGCTTCCATACCAGATATATTATTTATTTATTTAAATTAATTAATAAACATTGCATTAAATGGAATCAATCTATCTATGGCTGAGTAAAAGTGTTTTAGTTTTGCTTATACTAAAATGATCCAACCTTTAAATTATTCTCCCATCAAACACTTTTCCAATATACGTATGAAGGAAGAAAGCGAAGATAAATTTGTTGAATTCCCATTGCACATACAAATATGCGTTGAAGTCTGCGTATGGTCAACAGAATCGATTTACCTACGTAATATGCTAATAATGATTTCATTTCGTCTAAGATGCATCATACATCGATTCGATACAACAAAAGCAATTAATCATCGTCTTCAAATGAACATACGAAAAATTCAGGTCTAAATCATTATACTATACATCGCTCGTGATGCGGAGGCATCGTAAACTTGTTCCGGATGTATGCAACGCCCAAATGCACTTGGATTGTTTCATAATCGCTTTCTGAGTCGAACTAAGTTTGGCCGTTAACCTCACCTTCTTGCATTCTTTCATTCAACCTACAGTTCACAATTTTTAAGATATTTTGAAAATGGTTCAAATCGCACCAGCTTTTTTCAACCACCTCCTACATAGCGACTTATTTTTAAAAGTCGATATTTGACGGTGGGCCGTGACCTGGCCCACTACGATATTCTCACTTGCTTTTTAAAGTGTTTTCGTTCAAAGGGAAAAAGAAAAAATTGTTCTCAAACATATTTCATTTTCTATATATGTATTTGATTGACTTCCGGGCCCAAGTAGGCAAATAATCTCGACAAATAACTCAATGGTCGTGGGTTCAAATCTCAAGTGCTAGGTGCTTTAGACATGAGTCTTAGAGTATTATTTCTCTGGCTAATAATGATAGTAATAATAATATTATTTTTATGCATATATTGTTTATGCTTAAATGATCTTTTAAACATTTTAGCGCGAAAGAGAAATAATATTATTATGGAAAAACAATGGAAATGAAAAAATATTTTAAGCACACTCCTGCTCTGCCTCATAGCCAATAAATCAATGCTGCATGTTAAAGGCATCGCGTTATAGAGGTAAAGGAAAAACTTTTTTGAAAATTTTTTTAAACCTAACACATACAACTTAAGCGGTGTCCTTCACAAGACCGCACTTTTACAGTTTAGGGTATCGCTGGCTGCTGCAGTTTTCATCCGATAGCGAAATTTCAACTGTATCTTTAAAATACATTGTTTTCTTGTATATGAAATAAATATGAATTTAAACATTTTATGGTCGATTTTGGAGAAAGATTTTCCAAAAAAATTAAGTTTAAACGGATGGCATATGTTCAGATTTTTTAGCCATTTTTCGCATAATTTCAGCGCTGCTAATCAAAATTGCTAAAATTGGAAGAATGACATGACATGAGAGATGCCAACTTGCGAGGGCTATCAGGCCAATCAATTTTTATTAAAATTGAGGATAATAGTACAGTCAAACCTGTTTTTGTGCGGTCTTTTTTTATGCGCTTTTATTTTGTGCGATTATTTTTGTGCCATTTTTTTTTGTGCGATTCTTTTTGTGCGATTCTTTTTTTTGTGCGGTATATGAATATCGACACATTGAATTTCGCCGAGAGGTTAGATCAATCTGAACTGTGTTGGCATCACTTTTTTTGCTATCAGTGTGTATGTACACATTGCAACAGCCATTTTCATACCTAGTGCTGGAAAGCGGTCTGGCCTGAATGTGTCATTAATAGAAATGTAACCGACAACACGTCCACTTTATCATCAGATATCATTGCGCTAGCACATCAAATCTGCGAAGAAGATTTTGACTCTTTCAGCGAAAATGATCTTATTGAAATGATTGAGGACGAAACCGTAAATGATAGTGACATTATCAATAATTTAACAGATCATGAAGACGGACAAGAAGAACCGGAATCTATTACAGCGGCTAAAATATATGCAGGGATCCAGCTTTGCAGCAAATTGGAAAAGCATTTTCTTAAAATAGATAACAATTCTCAATGAAGTTTGAAATTCCAAAAAGAGCTTCGATTGTGTATATCTGGCTATCGCGACGTTTACAGTTCATCGCAAAAATATGCGCGTTTTGAACTACGACGAGTAGTATTGAATTATGTACATTTTGAAAATTTCTCCTTGTTTAAAATTAGAAATTAAAATTTTTTTAAATGTTTCAATGTGTAATTTAATTATTTATTTTGTTTGGAAAGCACTTTCTTGCTATTTCGTGAAGCTTTGACATATTTTCTAAGTGAGACTTTTTTTATGCGGTCGCTCTCTACCGCATAAAAAAAATTTTCTTTAATATGCTGTGAGAAATTATTTCTTATAGCTATTTATGAAGTTTTTGAATATTTTTGTTTGTGCGGTTTTTTTTCTGCGGTCCCTATCTACCGCACAAAAACAGGTTTGCCTGTACTCTTTTGGCGATTCAAATGCGTTTTTTGTGGTAATGTTTATTCACTAAGGAGGAGATCTTATAGGCACACACACACATACACATTAGGTTATACGAATCGATTCAGAAACATTTCCATCTGTCCGTTCATGTATTCTTTTGCTTAACGTATGTGGTGCAATTATTGCAAGATTTTGGTGAATTGTAATATCCTGATAGGCTTTGGTCCAGGTACCAACTCTGCTAAATACGACTTTCATCAAATCATTGGTACAACCACTCTCTATATAATGTAATCAATTTTGAAACAGTCATTATATGTGACCATTTTTTGAATCCCCCGCCTCCGATATAAACATTCTTATAATAGACAAGCGTTCAGATAGCAAAAAATTTGGCTTTTTAGTTTTTAGTATTCTATAATGGACCCCGTTTCAGGTAGTAATATCTGCCGGTAATTTTATTAATAATTCATTTTTCATATGGACAATGAAATCATGTGCTTTCCAGTAGTTTTCAAAGTTCTTTACCTTTGGAAAAGATTTTTCATCTACATTTACACATATTTTATTTATATTCGGTTTTTAGAATCATTTTGTTTGTCCTTCAATAAGTGACGTAATAATAAAATATAAAACAGTAAAGACCTGACGAAATAGATAGACAATGTCAAACAACATAAGGTAAGGGCAGAGTCTGAAAATGCGCAGATATGTAATTTATGTGCGATGGGTTAATTTCACGATTTCACGATTACTTCAACTATCAAAATAAAAGTACAATGAATTAAAGAATAGATGATAATTGATATGATTAGAGACTCTTTAATAATGTTCGGCTTCTTAGTGTGTTTCAATAAATGACTAATTTGAATATCGAAACATACATTGAAACATAAATGCTCTCACTCTCACTTACCCAAGTAAAACTAGGCGATAGCAATTTTTTGATGTGGGCAATGTATCATCGCATAACATAGCTGAACTAACAATTTGACCGGCTATAAAGTCATCAGCCGAATCAATGGTATCCATATCCAAGTCAGCCATGTGATGGTGATGCATGTCTGTGCTATTCATTAAGCGGGTTGTGGTATTAACAACACCATTACTGCCACTGGGTACATCATCTAAAAATGTAACTACATGCGCATTGCAGCCTGAAGCTGAGACCGCATTGTTAATAGCAGCGACAGCGTTTGTGCTGGCAGTCGATGATGCATGAACTGGTGTATGCTGATGGCCAGTCAATGCAGAACCGTTGGCAGCTTGATATTGACGCGTCATTGCATCTGATGTTGTTTGCTGCTGGGCGTTAGTAGTGCCACTACCACTACCACTACCACTACCACTGCCACTGCCAGCAATTGAAACCTCAGTATAATCATTGTTATTACTACGTGCACAAAACCAATTTTTACAGCGTATCATATTGGTTTCGACGACCGTTTGCACGGTCGCCCTCTCCGTCACCGGCGTATTCAATGCACAACCAATAAACCTCATCCAGCAATTACTAAACAAATCCTTCGTTTTTTCGATATAATCGATGCTACTTTTAGCACAATATAGTTAAAGCAAACGCCTACGCGTATATATGTGATGTCCTTTATTGTTTTATTTACTTTTTTTTTTATATTTTTTTTCTCCCTTCAGAAGATTGCTTTTTTATTTACATTTTCAAGCCTTTTAAGTGCTTTTGCTTGTTATCAAACAGTTTCATTAAAAGTAATCTTCTTTCACTTGGCTACGATCTCAGGGCTGCTATGCGATAAAAGGGTGAACTCGACTAAGAATTTAATTTTGCTGCCTTTAGTTATTGTTTGGTCTAACGCGATTACCCCTTCGTATTTCATATGCATATGTAATAAGGTGAAAATAATTGCCGAGTTTGGCAGTTGAAAGTAAGAAATTATTTTCCATCTGTTTGTTTTATTGTTTGTTTCTTCTTTTTATTTATTGTTTTTTTTTTTCTATACTTTTTTTTTTTTTTTTGTTATTATTTTGAATTTTTCAAATTGGACCTTATTGGAAGGTGGTTTTATTACAATTTGGTGGGTTTGCTTATCATCATTCTCCTCTCAGCAAGGTAAGCCTTTGTTTTCTTTATGTTAACGCTGACTGCAAATACAAATACATATATACATATATATATATATAGATAAATTTTATTTTTAAATTTTATTAAAGTTTTCATAAGCAAAGTTTGGGGATTAATTGGAATAATTATTTTCTAAAGATCGTGCACCGATCATTTTATTATAGGATTTTAATAGAAAAGAGCAGGATGCAAAGAAAGAGAAGAAGTGAAAATGAAAGAGATTTTTGCATTTACTAACTAATCAGGACGTATGTATGCAATTCTTCTGCCCGCTCTATTCGCAAATCAAAAAAAAATGCAAATTTTTTTTTAATGTAAAGCTGCGACGCAAAAGCAAATAGAGAAGTCCAGTTAATATAATCTTTAATAGAAATTTTGAAGGTTAAATTTGATCAGCGTAATAATCTGAAACAATTTAATAGATGTACGTATAAATTTCTGCTGCATTTTTCATAAAATTCACCTGCATTTAAAATACGTTCGGTCGTAATATGCACTGGCATTATTTATGATCTTTTGCCATTTGTCGGCTTAGCTTATGAATGACTTCGCGGCGGAAATTTTGTGATTCCGAGATGAAATACACTCATCGACGAATTTCAACACATCTTCAACTTCTGCGAACAGCTGACCCATTAAACATGAGTGACTTAATTTTAGAAGCAATAATCGCAAGAGATCAGTTCCGTAGAATATCGTGGGATGTGGTAAAACTGCACAGACTAAGTTGGAAATCACTTGCTGGGTTGTTCGCTGCCAGAAATTTCGCAAGGTACTTCCTAACTATTTTGTAGCTTATTGCATTTTTATTCGACACCAACTTGAGCACTTTCGCAGCGCTCCATTGATGTTATCCGTCTTATTAAACTTTGGTACACGCTAAACTGCACGGCAACTAGTCAACAACAAGATATTATATCGTTCATACGTTAATATCTATGTTACCTATGCGTGAAATTGTGGGGAAATTGAACGCGTCAGGTAGGCTTTAAGAAGTAACTAAAATTTCTTTGTACACTCAATAGTTGCTATCAACCCTTAAACCATTCATTGGCACATGGCCTTATCTATCAGAAGAAAAATAAACAAAGACAAGCGTTTTCTACGGTTTAACAGGTATCGGTTAACACGCTTCCACTATGCATTATGCAATTTTCTATTTTCAAAAAAAAGATAATCCTGAATAAGCGCCCATCCGCCTTGGTATGGTATGGAAAAATATCCTTACGGCTGCTTTACACTCTCATCGGAAACTTGTTCTACAGCGAAAACGAATAAAAATTGTATTGTATATTGTATTGGAAGGCATTAGGTCGGATCGTAACGCCTATGGATTAAACATTGCTGGTAAGTGACTTTTATTATACGCAAGCTTTTCGCAAATTTGCTGCACTGGAGAGCTGAACGCTTCTGAATAACCCAGTTTTCAGGTCGATATGTCAGATATTAACCAACAAGCAACTGCCGGAACCAAACGATTGATGTGTTCACATTTAACCGTTACAAATATAGTGAATATATTAATATGGCTCTAGCCTCGTTTAAACACTACGATGGTTTCACAGTAACAACTTATCATATTTGCAAGCATACCTTTCAAATTTATATAAAGCGAGCTGCGGGAATTTATTTTTTAAAGATTCATTAAATGGTCAAAAAAAAAAAATTAATCTTTCTCTCTCTTTTTGAATATTCATAATTCTTTATGCATTGAAGGAAATTGTAGTTAATAGGTTTCAAACATGTTTAAAGAGAACAAAGTTTTAAATAAAACCACTAATGCGCTACAATTGAAATCATGGACGTTTAACGAGTATTTTCTCAAATCGATTTAAGTTCGCTGGCAGTTCGCGGCTCTAAAATGGGGGAAGACATGAAAATGTGAGTTGTGAAAAGTTTCCAGGGAAAAGCATATATATATATATATATATGTGTACATAATATATAAAATACGTCAAGTGAGAAAGCTATATTCGGCTGGAGCCGAGTCTCGTATGCCTGCCACGATGAAAATCTTTAGCGCCCTTTGCTTTTGCTTATTGTCATAAAAAATGAAACGGATGGACAGACAAGGCTTAATTAATTCAGAATTTCAAAGCTCTCTTTTGAGTGTTACATACATTATGACAAAGAAACAAAATGGGTATACGTCCATCAATGAATATTGGGTACAAAAAGAATTGTTGATGCTGGTGTTCGTGAGATCGGCTTAAATTAAGATTTTTTCATTTGAAGTTCACGACTTCAAAGGGAAAGTCCGAAAAAGCGTAATTTCGAAACGTTGCAAATGCACGATTAAACCGGTTACCACACATGTCCACTTGTACACAATCACTTACTTCCTACGAATTGATTGCAAATTCTTTTCCATGGAATGCGACTCAACTATGCACTGCAGTAATATTGCATCCTTTGCAATTTTACATTTTTATCCCTATATTTCTGATATGTAAAGCCTTTTCTTTGGCTTTTTTTTTTTTTTTTTCTTTTGCGTGAAGGTAAAAGTACGAGGATCGTAGTATTTGGGAAGGTTGTTAAGCATACTTTAAAGCATTAAAAAAAAATTTTTCTCAAAAAAGGCACACGCCTTTATTAATAAAAAATTTTTAAGTTCGCTTGTCGTGAAAGTCGTACGTGTTTCGCCAGAGAAGGCTCTTTTGAAAATACAATAAAAAGTCCGAACGAAAACATACGAATGCAAATTACTTAGGTTATGCTGCTTGTCGATTTCAAAAACTGTATGTCGAGGCGTTTAAACGCGTTTAAAGTTTTGACATGTATTATACGCGTGCGCTTTTATCATAACAAATTGTTTATTAATTTTTTTTTGATTAGTCTTCGATTTCGGGGACAATAAACTTCTCCTTCAAAGTTCACATATACCTTTTAGTTTAGCTTTTTTCGAAGATTTTATGCTACAATTTGCAGCATGTGCTGCAGCATCTGTCAATGATGGGTCGGCTTTCTTGGACCAGTTGTTTGCTTTCACCAAATACTTATTGCTGCGTACTCTATGGAAAACAATAGGCCGATATCAGCTTTTATCCTCATATTGTTGTTAATCTTTTCGAATTATAATTAATCTTTTGGTCAATCCGCCGGCAGGTAAAACATCGTGAAAAATGTAATCAGTTTTTGTGGCTTTGAAAACATTATAATGAGAAATATTTAATTTGAATGACAAAAGTTTCGTGTCATTTGTGCTTTTGAAATTTTTTGCACCGATCTGCGTTTTAAGATAAACTAATGCGGGCATACATTTCGCAACACCTACATGTACGCATAAACCAATTTAATTTGACCCTCCACTTTTCGGTTACGAGCATCTTTAACACTTCGCACCCGAACGTCGCCCGAGAGGTGCCATCACTATTTTTGATAATATTGTACGTTAGATTGTGCACGAGTTGTAAATTTTTTTTTTTTTTTTGCTTCGCGTGAGATTAGTCAGTTAGACGGTGGGCACTTGGATCATTCAGTCTGAACACTATAGCGGGAAAATGTCACTGAATCACTACAGAAATACCTGAAAGAGTACAATTCGGAAGTGGTGATAATTTTTTATTAAAACTCCTGGCGGGTAGATGAATACCCACCCATACTAAGATATGGTTCGGTTGCAAGGGGTTAAAATACATATGCCCTGAACTGCATACACAATACTACTACATACTATGTACTACAGACTGTCGATAACCATGTCAGCACTGCAAATTAAAATTTGTTCGCTTTTGTTTGGCTCTCTTAAGCAAACTCTAACTAAAGTCTTTAGAGTCTTTACGCACTCAAAACCGTAAACTTGCTCAACACTTACCCAGTTTCTGAATACTGGACGAACTCGAATCATCGCTAATACTCTTGCTTACTCTTGGTCGTATTGTCAGTTACGGGTTTCATTCTTCTAATTTCTATTAACATGGAGACATTACGCATTGTTTAAGCCGATTAGAGTTTTAAAGTAAATTTTCATTGCGCCTGACGCAAATCAAAATATCTTGGAGGCACTTCTCACGTTTCTCGAAAAGCTTGCAAAAAAACTGCTTCGGCGTCTATATGTAGTTAAAAAAACGAATTTTTCAAATAGAGATAAGTTGTCCAAGATTCGCCTTGAGATACAAATGGTTTACATACATTTATATATATACATATATATGTTTTTTGTATGCCACATGTTGCTTTTATTTTAACTCAGCATCCGCATCTGCGTTCGCAAATATCCATGCAGTCCTGCATGGAAAAAATATGTACTCATTCCTCCGTCATATCAGCACATAACTGATTTAAAAAGTAAATGTCCGCTTGCTTCGTCAACGCAAATCGAAACAATGGTTTAATGCAATTAAAAGAAAACATAGCAAACACTAAACAAACGGTGTATAGAACATTGGTAACAACACCAACATAAATAAAATGAACGCTTCTATCACATCAATATGATATTTTGTTACGGTATATGCAACTATTGCATGATGATTATAACATATATGTGTGCTGTTTATACAAGCCATTTATAGAAGCATACTTGGGACAGCACTCTCACACAGCACGGTACATACGCTGCTTGTTTAGTACATTTTTATACCCATCATCGAAGCATGAGAGGTATGCTCATTTTGTCCAGACGTTTGCAGCGCCCAAAAGGAAGATTCAGAGACCCTACAAAGTATGTATATTCCTGATTAACATCAAATTCGGACACGATTAAGCCTGACCGTCCGTCCCTTTCTGTAATGCCTTTCGTAAGCATTCTCCCGAACGCTGTCGACTTCAAATTTAGATAAACGTTGGATCTTCCTGCACCCACGTTGGCATTGAAAATAAGACAAATCAGTCAAAGCACACGCCTACAGTACTGCGTAAACTGATTTGTTCAAAAGGAATAAAAACTTGGTGTTTTGACCATTACTCATAAGCAGCAGAAATTAAAGGTACAAAATTTCGCCTTATATCATATGGGTGGCGTAGTACCTGCAGAACAATGGAAAAAATTGACCACGCCTGCCCACTATTATAGTGTATCAAAATTTAAATATTTTTTAATGGCTTTAAAATGCGCAAAAGCAAACTTCAAAACCCTCATAAGGTATATAAATTCTTGACTATTTTCAATTTCGATATGCACCTGAACATGGCCGTCCATGCATCTGTCCATCTGTCCGTCCGCCTAACTCTTTAGTATTAGTGGCAAACATTCTCTCGTTCACAACGAGCAATATATGGCTTAAAAATTTGCGAAAGAGTTTGAAAATAACCTAAACTAGTTAAAGGACACGCCTGCAATACGCATACGCCTATGCAATAAAAACTGTGAACAGCTTTGCCTTCCGCGCAACACAAGCACTGTATAAATTTTCACCTGTATTCTGAAAGAAGAAAGAACCAGCCGTACCCACCCAATATTATAGAGTATAGAGTAATAGATTCAGTCGAGGTTGAATATAATTTTCTTACTTGTTTTTATCAACAACTATTAATTGCGAATTTCGTTCTAAAGTTTTCTCTTTTCCAATTTGAAGTTTTTTTGAGAATTCGATTACAGCATTGCTCAAATGAAAAGAAGAGTGAAGCGCATCATCACAGACTTGACACTTGAACGCATTCAGCATTAATTAAGTATTAAAACCTTAAACACGTTACAAACTCTTTGTTTCTCTGCACAAATTATATACAATTCCTTTTTTTAATCTGGTGATGTTGGGTCGTAAACTAATGTTAGAATAGTTTTTTAATATGTATATGAAACGAAGCAATACGATAAAGTTGTTCATGATAAAAACGAGATTTCAAATCGATTTAATCGTCTCCGTTCGCATCTATAAATATACGAAAGCACGCATTGACGACTGCTGCAAGTTCTTCGTTTAAAACCGAACAATTTCTACTCATTTGCAAAGGACAGGGAACAATTTGAATATGAATGTCTGGGCGACTGTCTTGATAAGCTCGACAAGTACTCTCACAATTCAAGATCGCTTTTATTTAATTTGTTCAGTTTCGCAAAAACGATTCATTGAAAAATTATCATATAAACCAGACTTTGTCTGATTTCAAAAATTCTCATATTTTAAGGTGTTTTGATACAGTAGTTATTTAACTATATCTATATATATATATATATTAAAAAATTTATATTTTTATAAAAAAAATTTATATATATATATATATATATATTAAAAAATTTGCAGCGAATGGCCTAATTTTTGTTTATCGCCCTCCCCTCTAACAATTCCTATGAGAGGTTAACGTTTACGTAGCAAGAAGGTCTAATCGCTAATAATTTACAGTGAAAATTAGCCAAGACAATCATGCAACATGCAAAACTAACTGAGTCATGCTTACAAAACTTTGAGGAATTTTTTTGAACTCTAGCCGTTAATGTGCTACATGTTTATATAGCAAAATGATCTAATTTTCATTTATCTGATATAACTTTGACTAGAATTGGCCAGTAATAGTAATTTGAGAGAAATATTAAACGGGGAAAAATTTGCATAGAACAAGTTTACTTTCTATACCATAGCACATGTAACGATGATGCAAACATGATGATGAAAAGTAAACGTTTAAATAAAAATTTAAATATGAAATTCGCTTTTCTAAGATACAATCCGTATCACTGGAACGTGGATATTATGTTCAAGAGAAATGCATTTCAAAATTATTTTATTTTATGATTATATTCCTTAAATGTAGGATTATTCACAATTTAGTTCGGCAATACTTTCTGACTGTGTCAACTTAAATATTCTTTTTTCACTAACTACTCTCCCTTCCACAAATATTCTATTTATATACATTTTTACAAGCATACAAGCATTATTATACCCAAATTCATGGCTTCATTTCTAATCCCTGTCCGCTTTTCCGCTAATCGTTCTCATTGGCCGGCAGCTGCATGAAGCGCCGCAAATGTACATTTGGCTTTTCCCTCTTTAGAGAATTTATTATTTGGGAAAATTACTTAGCTGGAATGAACTCGATTTGGGATTTCCGTAACAATATATAATTTTGGCAAATTTTCTAAAGAAAATAAATAAAGAAATGCATAAAGTGGAGTGGTATACGGCACATCATATTTGACTGAACGAAGGCCGTTTGTACATCGGCCAATAAGTCCCGACGTTGTGTAAGGAACACATTTTTGTTGTAAAATATGTTTATGTTCATCCATGCCATTTATGCGAGTTTTTACAATAGATTATCGAGGCCGTCAAAATATGAATCAATTTTCGCGATGCAAGTCTTTCACATACTGACAGTGTGAACGCCTTGCGATGCTACTTGCATGTTCTCCATTGTGAGTAAACTAGGTGCTGCTTAGGAAACCAAATCTTTTGATGGTTTTATTTTTTGATTTCTAAGAAGACTTTTTGAATGCAATTGGCGTAATGGGCCCATTCGGGCCGACACAGTATTCCCCATTGTCGGCATCCATACGATCTTAAGTTAAATGTGCAAACCATCTATCAATTGTGATTTTCAACGGAGAAGGCTTGTCATAGTATTTGTCAAGCGAATGCTAAGCTTGTTAGCTATATTTGCATCAATAAAAAGCAATGCTGAAACGGCAAACGAAACGTCGCACGTTTTCATTGTTCTGCAAATACCTAAAGTAGCTTTACCAGCAAACAAATAATTGAAATGACATGAAATTTTAATAGGTGTTATGTTAGGGGTTGACATTTTTTAAAAATAGTATGACTCTTAGCTTCTATACCTTAGTCGCTGAAATTATTTGTCGATCTATTATATGTATATCTACTTTATGCAATCGACGCGCTCTACATTTGAAGCCTCAAATAGTTCAATTTGTCCGCACATTGCAATACTATAAAATGATTGTGTGTGTCTTCACTACCGACTTAACTGTACAGCTATTAAATATGTAATATGTTAAAGTATTTTTTGCTTTGCGGCGCAATGACGCATTTTTAATAACATTCGGACCTTATTCGGGCCAACATTACCGCTCCATAAAGGCATATGCACGTTAAGGTTATGTTTCAATGTTACAAAATAATTAACAAACTTAAAATGCCATCATCTTAGATAAGAAGTTGAGAGAAATACAAGAGTCAACAAAAAAAATTCATGACAACTAATTTAAGAGAACTTTGCCGTAGGCAAACAAAACACTTTTCTTCGAACGCTAAATGTCGCATATATTAGCGCTCATCGAAAACGTCAGAGAGAGAGAGAGAGAGAGAGAGAGAGAGAGAGATAAACAATTAAGAGATATAGGGAGAAATACTTTAGAGCACATTGTTCGAAACTATTCATCTATACGTGTTTCGGATTTACAAGGAGGTTATCAGTCAAACGACAAACAAAGCACTCACTCACACAAAGCGAAACAACACAAACTAAATCAAACAGAAAATATTTTTCTTACAGAAATAATCAAAATCTCTTTCAGTTTACTTTAGCGTCCAGCGTGTAGATAATAATACTGTACGTGCGTGTGTGTGTTTGTCTATACTATTTTATTATTTTTAAAATTAGAAACAGACAAAAAACACTCTTGAATTAATTTATATTTGAATTAATTTACGTTCGATATAAAATTAAAATAACAACAAAAAAAAATAAAAAACAAAAAAAAAATGCCTTTAACAAAACAACAAAAACATCGTTTGATAATAATATCGGCTGTGATAATATCATTATTTCTAATCACTGCATCCATATACATGCATATACGACAAAAGCCTCACTTAGGACGAATGCGGCACGATAATGGCCGCTCCATGACAAATCAAAATACTGGTATGTACATATATATTTGTACATTGATATGCATTTATGTTTTATTTAAAATATTAATTTTTACATATTCTTTCTGGATCATTAATATTGACCGCGCCTCATGAAGACAAACTGTACAAATCCGTGAAATCAACAGCAAATACCGATCGGCAACACTTCCAAATGCTTACACGACAATGTTTACACTGCTTGTGTGCAATGATAACCGGTTGTCAAGCAGATGGTTGTGATACCAACTTACCATGTAATTTATATCAAATATCGAAATCATATTGGATCGAGGCTGGGCGACCGCAAGTTAATGATCAAAACCACAAAACATATTATAATGATTACGATGAAACTGACAAAGACATAAATGGTACAAAAAGAAGTAAAAAAGAAAGTGATTGTATTCGGCATAAGACAAGCCTTTCGATGATACCTCTTAGGAAATGAAATGATATGAAATGAAATGAATTTTTTTAATATGGAGTATATTACGTATAGAAATTCATAGGTGTGGATTGATTCATTTAAGCAAACAATGAAATAATGAAATTCGCATAACCGTAAAGAATGCATTATTTTGCCCCCTACGAAGGAAGGGCGGCAGCATATGGATGTGTTAGTTATGTCCGTCCGTGTTTCCCATTGCTGCAATTCTCTCTCTTACATGAATTTGCAACGTGATATTTGAAACTTTCAATTTAGTTTGAAAAAAAGCCTTACCTTGGAGAACGGTCCTCATATGCAAAGTAAAAAATTAATAGAATATATACAACTTTATATATAGATATATATATATATATATGTATACCTCTCTTATATTTATTCTCTTTTAGAGCTGAAACGCTTCAAGTTTAAAAAAATTGATATAACAAGAAAAAACTAAATTAAGACTGAAGCTAATCGTGTTTCGTGTGATACTATTATTATTATTATTATTTAGCCAATGAATGAAATCGCTCTAGCATCTAAAGGCTTACGGTTTTATTAAAAACTCTACCGCACTGAAAATTTGAACCCACGACCACTGAGGAAGATAGAAAGTTTGCAATATAATGATTAATAAATTGCATGCCGATATTCTGTTCGAAATTTTGTGATAGAAATATTAATAGGTTTTACGATACCGATCCCCTCTTTAATAGATTCACAATTAATCAAAAAGGCTTCGCGAATGTTCAAATAATGTAAACTCTTTTATATTGAGGGAATAACGCTTCATTAAACATGTATATAGAACAAATCTTCATATCGTTCAGTCCGCAATATATAGTATTATTCATATCGATTTATCGATTTCGAAATCGATAGTCGCATATCTGAATCCAGTAATGCCCATAGCCATATGAAAAGACCTTAAAGCGTATTATCTTATTTGAGTATCTGAAAATATTCCTTTGTATTTGATTCTATTGGTATTCCGATGCTTTAAGCACCGAGATTCTTTTTCTGCATTACTTTAGGCGACATCTTAAGCTGAAGATAATTCTGATCAATGCGAATAACTTTGCGAATTGACTTTGTCATGCCTGTTGGTCTGCTTACGTCCGTCCGTCCGTTCATACACATCACGATTACAATCTCAGATATCTGTCTACCAGAACAAAATTTATCTCAAACGTGTTCTTATGACTCTCCCCCAATTAATTTATGTGAATATTATATCTAGTTAGCATAACACGATCGAATATGCCCCCAAGCGTACGCGAGCTAATGATGGCAGCGATGATAAAAAGAGTCGGCTGAAACCGAATATCACTTTTTGTTTGTAAATTTATTTATTATTTTTTTTGTTTTTCTATGTTTTTTTTTTTTTTTTCCTTTGTTTTTTCTTCTTTTAGAATTTGTGACTTGTGCTCGGAATCGCATCTGTTCAGAGCAGACTATAAACAGTTATATGCAGAGATATTCCAGGGACTGCAATCAAGATGGTATCATTGATTGTCAAGACTATATTGCACTGCAAATGCTAGGCCAAAATGATTGTATGCGACAGCAAATGTCAGCCACACACATTAGCCTTATGAATGAGTGCTTAAAACAACATTTGCAGAAATAAAACAATAGAAAAAGACTAAAATGTTGTACATTTTAGAAACTTTAGAAAATGTCTTCTTTTTTTTATTATTATTATTATAAATAATTTTACTAAGAAGATAAAACAATATTCACATAAAGCCATCCATTAGTTCGTATTTGTAAAGCAAAAAGAGAAAAGAAACATTTGTTGTCTTTGTTTATCATCATTTTGCTTTTTTAACTTAAAAAATTACATTTCATTAAAACGATCTACGCAAACAATTGCAAACTGTCAAAGTCGCTTTGGATAACACATTTTACTTCAAAAAAAGCCAATAAACTTTTTATGCGTAAAATAATTATTTGCAAAATTTATTTCAATTTGCTGTTGAGCGACATCTTTTTAATAAATACTCCGCTGAGCTACCACTATAATGATGATGACAATAATGTTTAAGTGCCACTGTTGTGACAAATGTTAATAACACGATAAAACGACGTAAAAGAAGCATGGGAAAACCGAATAATATTCGTGTTAAATGTCACATCTTGTATCGTCCGTCAAATTGTTGAAACTTGGAAGAAAAAAAAGACAAAAAGGGAGGATAAAAATCGAATAAGAAAATTGTATTCACATTGAGACGTATCTTTGATGCTCTCAACTCAAAGCTGTTCATTAAAATTTTCAAAAAAATAAATAAAAAAATTTACTTACTGCATACCAACTTTGTTGTCCTCTTTAGGTTTAGGTGTAAAAATGAATTCACTTTACCTAGAAAGCATGTTTCTAATTCCCTTCAACGCGGACCGAACCTTTCTCTACTCATCCTGCTGCCTTATATACGATACTCAATTACAGATTACAGAGCCAAGATCCAATCATATGTACATATATATATATATATATATTTGACTTTAGTAATAAAGTAATATTTAACAAACCTTTGCATCAAATGTGAAAATTGATGTATATGGGTTCATATAAGCAAAGCAGATTGCATAAGTATCGTTCTGAGTATGGAAATATCAATTATTATCAATCCTGAAATTATATTTTCAGACGAGGAGAAAATTGTTAATTTTCTGAAGCTTGTGGGCGGCTAACCCAATGATAGCGCGCAGAGATATAAGCAAGCACACCTAAGTAAACCAATTCAATCTCTTCAAGTTACATACTTACCTATTTCTATATCCAAAACATCTCTTATGGTTTATAGAAATAAAAATGGAAAAAACCTGATTAATTTTAATTAATATAACGCAAGTAAAAAGATTAATAAACAGTTAATATATTTTAATTCATGTAATGACTTTTCAAAAGAAAATATGTGCCGATCTGAACAATTTTCAAAAGTGTACGTCTTGGGGCCAAAACATGTCATTTCATCGAAATATTTCAAAAATTTCGACCTATAGGTTGGACATAAGAACGGACGGACGGACGGACAGACAGACAGACAGACAAACAGACTTAGGTACAACAAAGGTAGGTTTATCTAAAGCCCTTCTTGGTGTTATTCTTGCGCATTGACCCAAACTGAATATGCCTTCAATATGCCACAAGTGGTGTAAGAAATAAAATTCTAACTCTCGTATACATATTCCCGTTTCTAATGAGTGTACGAAAATCGATTCAAGGCGAATAATTGTGTTACGCTTGTACACAGGGTAAGAGCTTACGTAACCAGGGATTGGACTGAGATACTGACTCAATACCTTATTGACATATATTCCTTTGCGCATTAAACACATAGTTCAAGAACAAGTTTAATATTAGAAATTTCGGAGTTTCGTACCTTGCTTAATAATACTAAAGGTTTCGAAGTCGAAAAAATCCATATTAAGTTGGGAAACGAATTTAAAAATCTGATACATTTGTCACACTAATAACGTTTTACATAAATTTAAGCTAATTTCATGTCAATCACTAGTAATTTCATTTTCGAATTCTAATTAGCTTGGATACGTTCATATATGCTATAAGTTACGAGCCAATCTGCCCTATTTCTAAACTTCATTTCATTTGAATTTCTTCTAATATTGTTACGATCCTTTGACCTCCACGAAATGCATTAACAAAATTTAATTCTCAAAATAAGGAAAAATCGATGAAAGCCAAGTATTAAGATGAGATGAAAATATCTTGGATCGAATAGTTTTTTAGGTGGCTTTAAGCAAATAACTATTATGTTTAGCCAAAGGCAGACTTAAATTTCTGCCACGCTTGATTACATCGAAGCGTTTACTTGCAGATTAATTAATTGTTCTAAACCTACATATTCCCGGGAGTTTTGAAACACTAATGAAAATCCTTTTCATACTAGTGCTGTGTGCAACTAAGCAGAAATTTAAGCTGTACATCATTACACCTTTCATCTCGAAATATGGTTACGGTTTGCCGTTATGGAAAACAGCCTCAACACACTGTTAATAACGTCAAATACGTAGAGCAAAACTACTATTTCAGGTATAACATAAAACTTTTCCATTTCGTTTTTATAACATCGAAAATTATGCATTAAACGCACGCGTACCATAAAATACATAAATATTCGATAATTTGTATTAGTGTGCTACCAACGGTGCTTTTCCCGATTTGCATCGGTATTTGTTTATGCTTCTATCTAGTTTTTCATGTAAACGATGTAGCCTAGCCATGTAGAGCTTGCCTTGGTTGTTCTGTTTGCATATGTGTTGTTTTAACACAAGTGTTTTTTTGCGAAAAGTTAAAATATAGTCAAGAAGACGTTCCTAAGAGAAAAACAAACAAAATAAACAAAAAAAAAAGATGTATTCGGTTTTGATCGAATCTTTTATACCCATCAAGGTTAACTTGAAAAAGGTTTAAAAAATGGAACTTTTCTACATTTATGTGCACGGGGTATGCGTTGAAACAAAAAATCACGGAAATCAAAGGTGTTCACGGGTTTTATTGCATAGGCGTATCCTTTGACCGGTTCAGGTTCTTTTCAAATTCTTGTGCAAATATTTGTAAGCTATATCTTCATTTTGACGAACGAGAAAATATTTACCCCAGATATTTTGCGGGTGAGCAGTCGGACACGCGGACATGCATTGATGCATTTCGAATTTGAATTGCATTTTTGAAATTTGTTTTCGTGTATTATAAAATTTTTGAAAAAAAAACTTAATTTTGATATACTGTAATATAGGAAAGGCATGGTCAATTTTTGCCTACAATTTTTAACTACAGTTTAACTACAGTACCACTCATAGAATACGTTTTCAAATTTTTATAGATTTATCTGCTGTAAGTTATTATGAATAATGAGCAAAAAACAATTTTTTATTTCTTTTTGTTCTCAGCTTACGTGGACGTCTACTGTAGACGTCTCCTTCGACCGATTTAAAACGTTTTAAATGCCGACTTGCGTGCGAGAACTTTCGCTGTTTTTGCCAAATTTAAAGGTAATCATTTAATTTTTACGGAAATGAGGAGAATTTCACAGGCGGACTGGCGGACAGGCGGACATACTTAAACCGATTCAGAGTTTGCCGTTAATCAGGAACGTATATGCTTTTTGCATATACGCTCCTGAAGCGTCCTTTTAGCCCCTGCAAACGCTTTAACAAAATGAATATACCTTTCACCCTTCGCTCGTGGGCATAAAAATCAATTCTTAGACCACCACGCCTAACCGAAACCTCTCAACTTGTGTATGCTAACATATTATACGTATGCTGGAATCATTATTTACACAGGAGCATACAATATTGGTCGGTTGGTCGGTTGGTCGGTGTGTTAACTCCTTGCATCGGTCATTTACTTTCCCTAGATAATGAAATACCAGGTTTTTCTTATGCAAGTACAATGCATACTGAGAACTGAATGCATACTGAGAACTACAAATGCGAAACAGAGAAAAGGAAATTTATGCAAATTAAAATATATATAGAAATGTTACTGAGAGAAAATCAATCAATTTACATAGGGTATGTGTTACGCTTATGGGAGGCAACACAAGCATAAATTGTTTTTCTCATGATCAGTGTGAATGATTCATAACGAGTACGAGTAATGTTGTGGGCATAAATATTCCATAAAACGTTGTTGACAAATCAAATGAAGATGTGGGGAGAATAAGGAAAAATTGTTTTAACTCGAATTTATTTTTAGTCTTAAAGAAACGCTGGTTATTTATGTGTGTTCCTCCATTTTTTCAAATTTGTTTTTTGCGTTTTTTTTTTTTATGATTTTTGTAGTAAGTTTTTGCTTTTTTGGCATAAAATAAAATGAGAACAACAATGTTATGAAGATCTCTCAAGAATAAATGCGAAGAGCGCCAGCTTATTGCAATGGCATAATCCTTATTAGGAAACACTCACTTCAAACTTCAATACATACTCTCTTCACCACATACGTACTTAAGTTCCATTAACAAAACGCATGTAACTCAAATAAATACGAATGTATTTATTATGTTCTACGATAAACTTCGTAGTTTGCTGTAGTTTTGTGAGACGGAGACTTTTGCGCGCAATTCTATACAAAACTATTAAAAAGCACAAAATACTTTGTTTGTCTTAATCAAATCATTTTGAAAAGCGCTCAATTAACATTCGATATAATTCTTATGCTAATATCGTTTATTCCATATTCAGGATGTGGTTCACGATGCGTATAAATTTTGCAAATCACGCTCTAATAAATTAACCACTCATAAAGCCGATGAAAGTTTTCAAAAAATTGATGAAAACTGGCACATCTTCACTTGTGAGCCACGCTACGGACCAGAACATTAACGTAAAAACATTTTGTGGTTATTGTATTAAGAGCACGAATAGAAGCGTGACATTTGGCCATCACTTGAGTTAATAATGAAAAACTTCTCCGAATCGTTATTGAAACAAATGCACTGCGTTTTATCGAAATTAGAAGGACACCATTCACCCTGACTTGCTTCAAATTGGCGAGACAATCCTACTCTCTTATACCGACAACTAATGTGACTAAAGTGCGCGTGCCAAAGTGCGTCCAAAACGAATGAATAGGGAAATCATCGTTTTTCTTTACAACAATACCAAATTAGTACGTTTGGCTGTGCAGTTTCGAGACGTTCGCGGTATAGCCCCGTTCTCGGTCGCTGCCTGAATCGATTTGCAGCAAAACTGAGTTCCAAAAAGGCTAATAAAAATCGCTTTGTTCCGTTTTTTCGCCCAGAAATCCAAGAAGCTCTAAATTGATCGAAGAGTTTATCGATGGAAATAATTTGATATAAATTATAAGGAAATGCTTTCGAATTTTGACTCCAAAAAAAAAAAAAAAACGAGAGATGAGATGAATAGCTTCCTTGACTTATTATTAACGCGTAATCTAGTTCAATGCATTTTTGACGATACAATTGCTTTCTTGATTTT